TACACACTCCTTATTTCTACCTTGACTGTAGAGGGATAAACATTTACGTTTTCTGGTTTGGTTTATTCACTCTCTGTTCGTCTCCGTTAGTGCATCGACTTTTCTTCTTCTTATTATTATTATTATCCTAGCTTAAAAGAGTTTCTGGTGTTACTTCATATAATCCATTCATTATTTGAATTGAATAAATTTTGACAGTGTTAAATTCTGTCTTATGGAACTTCGCATCATGTTATATAATGCTCCAAATTACAACCGATACTGTTAATCCAAATTTATTAACTGCTTCTATACATTCTTTGAATTATCCTATACATGATATAATTTATTTTATTATTAGATATTTAGTTGTGACTATGACTGGGAGCATTTTCATTGCATTTCACATTATTATTATAAGTAGTAGTAGTAGTAGTGCTTTGGTGGCACAGTGGTTAGGACTCTCGCCGACCATCCACATGGTTCGAGGTTCGATCCCCTGCCGATGCACACCTGATACCTATGGTCGGCCTGCAAAATTAAGGCTACCGATATCACATGCTGAAAACTCCATACTTGTACCTGCTGACGACCTGACTGTATCTTTGCCTGTCAAGTGTCAAAGTGATTGCTCTGAACTAAATGGCTATTTATCAGAAGTCAGCCAGTGGTCCAAGGAGAACGGTCTTACCTTAAACCGCTCCAAATGCCAAACAGTCAATTCCACCTTTAGGCACAAATATGACCTAAACAAACTGGTTAGAACTCACGAGGTGTGCAACACAGATGGCACTGAAATAGAAACCAAGTCAGAAAATAAATATCTAGGCGTCATTCTATCTGCTGATCTTTCCTGGTCGTCTCATATCTTGACGATTTCTAAGAAAATATTCCGTCTTACCTTCTACATCAATAAGTTAAGATATTCGGGTACAACTCAACCCTTACTCTCACGAATCGTTAACTCTTGCATCCTGCCTATTATTCTCTATTGTTCCTCCTTAGTTTTTCCTGGGCCACTGAAGAAAGAATATACCTTATTACGCAGGATGTTAAAGGTTGTCAGCAGGGTAAGCAACGTGCCACTTAATGAGCTTGTTAACATTCTGGTGGACAGGCACATGGACTCATGTGAAAAATGAGCTAAATCCATTTTATCTAACTCACACCACCCTCTTCATTCACAGCTCTCCCCTTGTTGTATCTCTTCAGGGAAAACCAGAAGCCTATATAGGAAACTATATGCCCGCACTAGTAAGTACAAAAACTCATCCATACCCTACCCACTTGGCTCGTGTTCTGTGCGATAAAGAAAGCGTTAGGCGTGAAACCTTTAACTTATTAAATAGTCAGTAGAACAACCGGATCTCATCTTTCCAACTCATATCATTTATAGGTACAACGTTTTCTTTCTTCCTTTTTCCTTTTCTTTCTCTTTTTTTCTCTCTTATGTGCAGCTTTGTTTCTTCCTTCCGCTTACGCCAGTAAATGTGCAAGCATCTACTTTTCCAACACCTTCAAACACTGTTCAATTTTGGCTTTGCTACCGACATGCCAATATGTTGTTGTCATAATGAATTGAGATTTCCTTAATCTATGTAGAATTTTATTTATTGATAATGTACTAACTGGATGCAATACTGTAGTAAAATGCTAAGAATTTCATTCTGTATCACAAGTACTGTTTTGGAATAAAGCAAATTAATTATTATTATTTAAAAAAAATACGGTGTGCAATCAAGTTGTGATTAAAAAATTAGTAGTAGTATAGTAAGCATAAATTTAGTCACGGCATATAGATTCTTTATAGAACCATGTAGAAACAACTGTACAACTGGACAGTAAATTCGTTGAAAAGACTCCCTTCGTTGGATAGTGTGTGTGTTCTTAATGTTACAATAGGAATTGTTAAAAGAAAGAAAGTTTTGTCAAAACAGTCTGAATTGAGTAAATAATGCTCATTGCTTAGGATATACTGTGAAACATAGACGGAATGCAATCTCCAAGTCTTTTGTCCTTTGCATATACATCTTCTATTGATAGAAAATTATGGAAATTTGTTGAAGGATTGAAAATTATTGCGATAAACAAACTCTAACATTAGAATAACAAATGTTTGTTATTACGGAAAAATATTTTGTTCTGAATTCTTATTTACTTTGTTTTGCAGTTATTCAGTAAACGTTTATCAACCAACAGAGTTTATTAATATTTCGTAATAATGTATTTCTACTCTAAGGAGAATTCACGATGGTTAACAGAATCAAAAGTATTAGATGGTTGGAGGTAATCAGTCGGAAGCCTTGGACATGGGTTTCGTGCAAGTTGGCACTCGTCAGCAAGGTGTATCTGCAGTGTGCACCGTGATGGCAAGCCACCTAAAATGGTGGCCCCATTCCAAACCTGGCTGATAGAATTCAGTCTGTACCAAAGAGAGGAGTAGACACATCACACTAATTAATAGAATGAAAAGTAATCGCAGTAATTGTAAATTATGCAGCAACCCATAAATGTGTTGTTTTTAGCCAGTGATATTTAAATAACTAATGTCAGCTCATGATGAAATCCTGTAACCAATCAGATACCTACAAACCAACACCTGAATATCAATGAGACTCTCACTAGCGACTTGACCTATTCAAGTAAGTAGTTACCTGGGGTTCTAGTGGGAAGTGGTGACCAGTTGGGTTCAGCAGGTCGGGTGTGAGGACAAATACTCGCCTAAGACATTGGCTAGTGGTCGCACTATGTCGTGAATTGGCAGAAGTTAGAATTCATGGGCTGGCCATAGGATCGGGTCCCAGTGGCTTAGTGGTCTAAAAGCTCGCCTTGTAACCAGAAAGTCCTGGGTTCGAGTCCAGGTGGGTGCGTACTGCTGAACAGTCCAGAACTAGGACGGAGGAAACAGCTGTCCAGTACCCCCAGGTTTTCCAGTGGTTCTCTAAATGATATCAGCTCATGATGAAATCCTGTAACCAATCAATCAAATCCCTACAAACCAACACTTGAATATTTAAATTTGACTTTTTATGTAAATTAGTCTGTAAGAACTATCTTAGTCAACACCACAAGCTTAAGTAAACAGTTCCTTACAGACAGTTGATTAGTTACTGTGCACCGAGGTGTTATACTGTTTAAGTGAGTGATAAAATTGCACACATAATAAAAAAACTACTTTTAGCGCTTGAGATCAGACATCTGTTTATCGTTTTTAACCTTCATTCAGTGTTACAGTGATGTAAATTACTGATATTAGTAAGCTTAAAGTTTTTCTCAATTTCTAAAGTGACTAACCTTGGAATCAACCGCGTTTCTTAACAATATGTTTGACATTTAACATTATTAAGATGTACCAGGTAATTTCAATGCTAACGTCTCTTACCACAGTACTGAGTGACACGGGTTTGAATCTTCAAAGGAACACCAGTTTCATAAAGGTTAGGCGGCCAACAAGTGCTAACAAGCAGGAGACGTAGATCCAGAGTTTCTTGACAAATGTCTCCAACCACTTAGCAGCTCTACTCTGAAGTACACCACAATGCTGAGTCACCCACCTTCGTAACCGCTTTGGTTAGCCTAACTGATAGAATTCAGTCTGCAGTAACACGAAATACTATGAACGTGATATTGGCTTTGCCATGGCAACCGATCACAGGAGGGATTAACTGTATCCAGGAATTACTAAATTCAAAACGGATTTCAGTTGATCATTTGCAAGTGCAACATCAGTTCTGTACTCCTTAAATAAACCACTGATTTAAAAATAGCTCATTTCATCACTAATAAGTCATGATTTTTGAATTGCTGTGAGTTTATGCCTTAAAACCTTTATGTAATTTGTAGTCATTACTTGGTCTCGTGAAAAATGTGCATTGTCTTAAAGCTAACCGTCTAACTTACTAGCCACAATTTGGATGGTAACAACTCAACATTTCTATGATTTGCGCAGAACCAGTTATGACATAAAGAGCTTTACGATAAATTCACAACTTTAGTGATCAGAATAAGAATTTTACTATGTTAACTGATGCACCCTGATTATAATCGATACTTAATAGAAAATTTATTTCATTAACGACTTCTTTCAAATTAATTCATGAAGCCCAGTATTTAAACTCACGTTCGGGCTTCTAAAGACCATTCCCCAGTGAGACTCTGACCAAGTACAAATCTTTTAAACACTATAGCATTACCCAATAGACCTTGGCAGACAAATCTTTCGCAACGCGTACAGCTAACTGGTTTAATTTGCATTTACCGTTGATCACTTATGTTAGTGGCGTCGGTGGCATAGCGGTTAGGACGCCTGCCGACCATGCATATGGTTCGTGGTTCTATCCCCGGCCGACGCATTGCGTCACCTCGCTAAGCTAGAAATAATCATGGTAAAGAGGAAAGGTTGGGCATGAAGCTAGCAACCCCATCCTGTAAAATAAAGACTGCTACAGAAACTTCAAGCCACTAGCTTGAAGCCCTATGTTCCACTGGGAACGTAAAGGAAAAAACTTATGTAAGACTGAAATGCCCGGTCTCTATTGACATGTAAGCTGCTAGTACAGACTCTTCGACAGCATCTGAAGGATAAATTCATGGTTAACAGGATAAAATAGAGACTAAGTATGTCTATCCTACATGGCCAGTCCACAAAAAATCCCAATTAACTTAACGGAATAATTATGTTACTCATTTTGCTGGAACTGGTCTGCATGCATTGATGTAATCTAATGTATTCATCACATAATTCACTTCCGAGATGAAAGCTATACAGAAGGTTACACTAACACAATAAATATAGTTAGTAAGTGAGCGAATAACGAATAAATTGTTCACATTATCTTAACACTATAGACAATCAATCTCATTCTTCTGAACATTCATGCCACAACATATGCCCCCTTATGTGCGTCGGTGGCACAGTGGTTAGGACTCTCGCCGACCATGCACATGGTCCGGGGTTCGAGCCCGCACCGACGCACACCTGATATCTATGGTCGGCCTGCGAATTTGGGCTACCGATATCCATGCTGAAAATTCCATACTTGTATCAAAAATACAGTGTGGAATCAAGCTGTAAATCAAAAATCAAAAATCAAAAAATCAAAAAAACTACCTCCCATGAGTAAAATGCCTATTTGTTTGATAAATTAGCAAAAGTTGAAAAATAAACGATATTGGTATCTAACCCCCGGAGGTAGTGAATGAGAACCGCGCACGTATAAAATTATAAAAAGCTCACGTTCATTTTATCTCATGAACTTCGTTATCATGATAAATAAAACTATAGAAGTCTTAAAAGTCAATTAATACCAGAAAGATGACATCGATTGTGTCATCAGTAGTTACTGCTCAGAGAGTCTCTATAAGCAATCTGACATAATCTTAGAGAAGCCTGCTTATAAACATCTTCGTCATAACTTACGAACATTAAAAGTGAAGAGTGAGTCATGTTGTCATTTGATTGAAAGTGACTAAGGACAGACTTCAGAATGCGTGTTTTATTCTTATTTAGGACTCAAAAGTGACATGAACTTTCATTCTAGTAAGTGATAGTGCTTCAACTGGATCTTAAATCTATCTTCAGTAAATATCCATTGCAAAACAGGTGAATTTTATGCTAACTTCAAGACCAAGTAGGAATACTCTGCCACTGGGATGTAGGTTTATCCAATTGATGAGTCCCTGCTAGGGGAATTAATCTGCTAGCCGCTATCAATCAAATAACATCAAGTTAATCTCCAAGCATCTTCCTTGGTTTTAGGAGTCACCATTTTAATGCTGTCCAAGAATTCAAGGCTTCAAGCTCCATATTCCACGCGGATAACAAATAAATGAAAAAAATGGACTTTGGTGGAAGGATATTCCATTGTCTGGTCTATGGTGTCATCAATACACTGTTCTTCAATTGTTTTCAAAGTATGCTCAACGAATAATCATCCGTAAGTCAGTAAACTTGTTGTTAAATTTCTCCAATAAAGTTAAACTTAACGATGCATTCCTCGTCCACTTCTACCTTCAACTAATCAGTACAGTCTTCCACAAAGTCATTCAACTGCCTTTAAAAATTATATTGTCTAAATGAAAGGGAAATGAAATGTAATTCGTCACAAAAATTTGAATATGCATTTTCCTACATTAGTTTCGGGAGAAATGTATAGTTGTATAGTGTATAATGTCATGATTAGTGTTTACTAAATGTGTTTCACAGTTGTTGGTGTATAATAAAATGTATTACTTTGCTCAACTCTACAGTCTTCAGTGTGAAAAACAATGAGAGAAATAAAAACTGTAAAAATAATTTTTTTGAATGATGATTCAAGGATCTCTGCAAGTTATAATTGGTATTTTATGCAGTCCTCTTTTGCATAATTCTTGTATATGCATTTTGAACTGTTCTACACATTGTTCACAGACTGCTGTAGCCACTGGAGGAGTAGGAGTCGGTGGAGTTGTTGTTGGTGTTGTTGTCGTTGTCACTGCAGATGCAGCAGTTGGTGCTGAAGAAGTTACATTTTGGTCTGTTTGTTGCACTTCCCTGTGTCCAGCTGAATTTTGCAGATTATCTACACTAGTACGTATCTCCAGATTCCTAGCAACTGTAAACGGCATTATACTTGCGGATACATCATAACGCATACCATCGTTGTCAATAAGGTTGTGTGAGTTTTGATGAGGCCCACCATTGGCTAATGCTTCACCTGTATTATTTCTTGAAGGATTATATGTTATAGTTGAAAATGGTCGAGAGTGTAAGGAACAGTGATTGGAAGGGACACGTTCAGCTCGACTCTCCATACGTGAACATGAATGCGTAAAACTCTGTTGAATATCTACAAGACATTTCTCCAACACGACTATTCTTCGTCTACAATTGATAAATAAAAATAATTTAATGATCTTTACACATAAAATGATTATAAACACAGTTAGTAACTGAAATAGTTCACAAACCAGTGAATGACACTCTTTGTATCTCAGACAGACAGGCGAGTAACACTCAGATGCTTACTTAATATACCAAACCACAATCTTAAAACACATAAATTATAGGTGAAATCTGATTGCAAATTAGTAATTCAGCTATTATTATTATTATTCATTAACCTGAAACCAATCTGGAAATCTTCATCACTCAGCATCAACAACTAAATTCAGTCGGGTTTTCAATACAAACGTCAAGTCATTCAGTTCTTCTATATGGTTCAGAAACTTGGCGGGCAGGTCACATAGAATATTTCCAACAGGCTATTGCAGACCTTCATCAACAACTGTCTTCGCTGGATCTAAACTGAAGATCAGATGGCCGGGCCAGAAAGAATCACCAACAACAAGGAACTATGGGAACAAACAAAATAAGAACCAATCACCAGCCAACAAATATGCAGGAGAAAGTGGATGGAGATGGATTGGACACTCGCTCGCTGAGGAGGCCGCCACTGGGTGACATCGCGCGCGCGTCAGGCCATCGCTCGAGTGGAACCAGGCCTAAAGGGAAGCGGCGAGTGGGACGTCAGTGCAAGGGTGACATGGAGGAGATTGTGTGTAGAGGAGTTGAAACAGTATGGACTAACATGGATGCAGGTGAAAAGTACAGCAGAAGACAGAAGCATGTGGAGATGTGCGGCTGAAGCCCTGTGTTCCACTAGGAACTCAAGGGAACAATAATAATATAATATAATTATTATCCTAGCAGTAGATTTCAAAATTTCTTTCTCACATATAAGAAACCAAATTTTTTTGTTACATGGGATTTACCTATTTTCTCTCACTTTAAACAAAGGTGTTTTATTTCTGACATTGGAAGAAATGTGCATCTGTAGATTCTCAAATATGAGAAAAGTTTCTTGATTTACAGGCATCTCCTTAGTGGATTTTGCGATTGTCAGTGAAAAAAGAGTAGAAAAAATGCACATAATATGACAAATGTCAGTGTGTCATATATTGATTACATGAAATCTTTGTCAGAAAACGTTTTTTTTCCCATGTCATGGTTATATAAACGCAGATGATGTGTGCACCACTTCTGCTGACTACACACATCTTTTTCTTTCTACTTCATTGTAACACACTTTGAGGCAGAGTGTTTTTGTCTCAGTAAGATATACATGACAAAAATGTGAACTTGAGATGCATCTAAATTTAAACTGACAAGCAGTTCGTCGTATATTTCTTCCTATGCAATTTTTGTGGTGTCTGCCCAACGTACCAAATTTATCTATAGTGATTTATCCCTCAAACTGGACTTTTCAGTGCTAAGATACACTTTCGTCTGGGCTTTCAAATAGAAGACGTGGTTATCTACGCTTACGATGTTTCCAAATACTATATAATGTAAAAATGTGGTGCGGTTGCTGCAAGTTAGTCAGTTATTGAAATGTAGAATCTACTTTTCAGGAGTACTGGATCTAGTTATACATACTTGGGGATAAAAGAGATACTTTTAATGAGCAATAAAGTGCAACGCAATGTAAGCTGCCTATAGGCTAAATTATTAGGATGCAGCATAATCCAGTACAAATTACCAAAACATTTATAAGTTTAAACAAAGAGCGAATAAACACATTTAGACTACGAATCAACATGTACGAAAATAAAAGACAGATTCAGCGAAGAAAATTTTCTTTATCGATGAAATCATCTTCAGAGGCCATACAGTCGTATTTATACTTACAAATATATATATATGTATATATTGAATTCGTCGATTCAATAAGTGGTGCTAATGTATCCGGGAAGAAAATGATATCCATGGATGTTACTTCGCTTTTCACCAACGTTCCCCTCACTGAAACTATCTGCTTTATATGCAGATTTATTGAGGATAATAATGAAGACGTACGTGCTCCGAACCACTACTTAAAGAAACTACTATTGAGGTGTACCCTAAATGTCCAATTCAAGTTCAACAACACGATTTATAGAAAAAGAGATGGAGTGACAATAGGGTCACCATTGGGTCCTTTACTTGCAGAATGCTTCTTGGCTAGTTTGGAGAATAGTATTTTATGGCCTACTATCGACAGTTTCCATCTGTATCAGAGATACATGGATGATACTTTCATCATATGTGACGACAATACAGACATCGAATTGATAACTAAGGAGTTCAACAGCTGCCATCATGCCATCCAGTTCACGTCGGAATCAGAGATTAACTCGGAAATCCATTTTTTGGATGTTTTTCTAAAGAGGAGATCTGATGGTTCTCCTCAAAGGTCGATCTACAGGAAACCAACATGGAATGGTCAGTACACAAATTTCCATAGTTGGGTCCCTTTGAGAAGACGGAGAAATCTTACCTATTCCTTATCGTCAAGGATAAGGCTGATATCTTCCAGTGATACAATCGATGGGGAACTGGGACGACTCAGACTAGTCCTCATAGAGAATAGATATCCTCCAAGATTTAACGAAAAAAACATGAAGGGAAAAGCCTGAAACAATTCAGACTGTGTCAAAGAAACTGCTATTTATGAGTGTTGAATTTAAAGGTGATACCTCAGCTGAGATCCTGAAGAATCGCTTATGCAAATGGTACAAAGGGCGTCAGGTTTCGGCTTTTGTGTATGGCAGAGGTGCTGGTAATTCATCAATACAACCCTGAACTCTGTATACAGAAAAAGTTTGTCCAGTCTCTTATTCTACCTTGATCTCAACCTCTTCACTAATCGTTCCCTGTAAAACATTTTGATTTTTCTTTTCTTTTTAATTTTTAATTTTACTTTTCGTTTGCTTTTGCTTTAATAATTAATTCACTATTATCAATCTCATATGCTTCTTCTGTATATTTTCACACCCTCTTCACACTTGTTAAATTGACACTCAAATACCACCTTTATTCTCACTCAATAGAAATTTTAACCTTTTCAAATTTCTTTGTTCCGCTGAGTACCATGTTATTTACAACTTTTAACTTTCACTTCTAAAGCCACTTGTGACTAATTACACAAATTATGTCACCCCTTATTATTCAATAATAGACCACTATATATTTTTTGCAAGTATAAATACGACTGTACAGCCTCTGAAGATGATTTCGTCGATAGAGAAAATTTTCTTCGCTGAATCTGTCTTGTATTTTCCTCATGACTCAATGGGTATTTTCGGCGGCATGTATAAAAAACCCAATATACCTCATCCTCACATTGTTTACAACGGATGATGAAACGTGAACAGATAAATAGTTGGTTTATCACAGTTTTTGCTCAATCAGATACAAACAAAGTTTGGTCAGTACTCTGCTTAGTAAAGTGAGGGCATCATGATCAGAAAAAAAATACTGACGATGGGTTTATGATTATTGAAAAAGAACCTGATGGGGAATAGATATCTTGGAAAGTAGGTGATGAAATATGGAGCAGAAGAAACGTCCTGACTAAAGCAGTTGAGAAAAAAACTAGTCGTAATTTGTCTGGCGTAGAAAGACTGGAAATATGTTCATTTAGCGTTTGTTCAAACTAATAAAGGCAAGCAGTTGTAGAGATTTCGTCTGTAAGTTCACTTAAATTATTAGAATAGAAATTTACCACTATAAAACATTAACGAATCAAGAGTGATCCAGTGTCCGAAATCATAATTTTTTAAAAATTCTTAATACCATTGTGGTGAGAGCAGGCTGCTAGCTGATTGGTAGACATTTATCTACGTCAATGTCTAGGTCACTAATATTGGCCATGAGAAAATATGAACAAGGCTGGTTCAACAACCATCACAGCAAACTTAACGTGGGCAAATATGATTCGCAGATAGATGGCTCTACTTTTCGATGACTATCCGAAACGACCAATCAGAAGCCTGCGTTTGTCCGCTTAACTTCCGAGAAACAACCGATCAGAAAACTGCGTTTGTCTACTTGCATAAGCTATAATAATTTATAGGAAATATATATATAAATACGTGTTGATTTCCGTAATAAAAACGGTCTGTTGCCGACCCTTGTCTTCTGTTGTTACATTTGGTGTCGCTGCCAGGATGATGACAGTGACGGTAAACGTACACTCAGTATTCGGCCACCTGGACGATTACGTGCCTCCAACACCAAAACACTACGAGATTCACGAGTAAGAAGGTGGGCTGCTGCCAATCCAGAAATACCCGCACCTATTACAATCACATCAAACATGCCTAAGACCACTCAACGGAAAGTAGCGACAGGCCAAACAATCAGACGAGGTTAGTGTGAATGATGGCCATATTACTATATCTCCAAATGGAAATAAACCATAACTTCAAGGAGAAAGCCAGTAAATCAGTCACCACTTGCTCAATGCTCATCAAAGTATAAATAACAGATAATTTTCATGAATTTTTTTCACACAACATTTTTTTTCAATTATACTTATCAAAAAGTAAACACCTACTCCAGTATGTCATTTTTCAATTCCGGTGAAATATTTATCTCCTCGAATGCCTTAAGCATACGGCCATAATCTAGGCGAGCACATGTATCCAAAGCTGCTTGTCTTAGTCGACTTAGACCATATAAATCAGCGATACGCAAAAATAATGGAGCAGTTAAATCATTTAATCGAAATGTCAGTGTTCTTTCAGCTAAATTTACCATGGAATCAATTTGATAACGATGCAGGATTGGAAGAAGCTTTTCAGCTGTCTCAGCTAGAAACAAAAAAGCGAGAAAAAGTTTACAGCTGTAATATTCATTTGGGCAATCAAAAGACCATACAAATATATAAACCACTATTCAAAAAATGTCCGGTTGCTTATTAAGCTACTAACATATTAATGAGTAGTGTGAAATTACAATGAAAATAAAACTAGGTGCTCATGATATGTCAAATGCAAAATGTGCACATTTTCCAGGAAATTCAGTTCCTTGATGTAATACAAATATACTGAAATTCGATATATTCATCACCTTTCACCGTTTGCAGAAGTCATGCTAAAGGAAGTACTTTCTTCGGAATATGAGTCACCAACAGGCGTCAGTTGGAGATATCACCCAGTGAGAAAATATTATTTCTTGGATGATGTTTCTAACACAATTTATTGTTCATAGCCATAACTGCACAGCTTCCAGACTTGATTCTTACATATCTCTTTCTTCCTGCTCATCTTTAACAGGGGTCATGAAATTTTCTAGATGTTCATGAGAGTTGTTCAATTATTGCTGTTTTAGGTATGCCCGCTGATTCGATAAACAAAACTTCAGTTATCCAGACATCCGGGGCAACTAATGTGATGATAAAAAATCATTTGTTTTTGGAACTTTTTCCTCCTGCAAATAACACTACAACACTGCGTGATATATTCAATACACAAATTATTACGTAATTACATACTTTCATAGTGCCAAGATTAATTAGCCGGCTTACGATTAATATAACGGACAAAAAGGATTTTATGGTTTAGAACACTAAATGCCGTTAACGTACCCTACCTCAATGCAGTAAAACGGAGAAATATTTGAATTCCTGTCTCTATATGACTTATATCTCAATTCGCCTACAATTGGTTTCATTTCGATCTATTTTAAACGAATATATTTAGAAATTTGATAGGCATTCGTCTCGTTAACTAGCTCTCTCTTTTCAATTCACTCAAGATCCGACAGAAAAGATATGAATTCCTGCGGACCGATTTGTAAAAACCAGAATTATAAAGCGTTCTTCAACTCGAATAAGTAATCGAGTATTTTTTTTGTTGAAATTTGATTCGTTCCAAGGATTGACGTCACTCAGGGGACCACTGAGAACCATCATTTACTCGACAGTCATTTTGTGCTGGTTTGAAAGTCTTCAGCTACGTGTAGCCATGACTTCATCAAGGGTAGAACCCTAACGTTTAAGAAGAGTCTTTTAACCATTCAATCACTGGGGAAGAATATAACGTCTTAGGAGTTTCAACTTTTGCCACCACCAGTCAGGGTCATCACGGAGGGGGTATTTGTCCTCACGCCCAACCTGATCAATCCCTCTGGTTGCGACTGGTAACTAGAACCTCAGGCAACTTTGCTCTGTAATCATTAACTAGTCAGCATTGGGTTATTTTTCAAACATTTTTTTGCAGGAATTTCATTAGTTTTGACTTAGATCAAGGAATGGTAACGAGTTAAAGAAGAGTAACGAAACAGGACGAAACACCCCCATTGTCTTCAATGGCTCTCTGATTGGGATCAATTCGTGATCAAAAATGAAATATATAAATAATTAAATTTAATTGATGGTCTTAACACCGTTTCATTTTCTTAAAATCCTAGCTAAAATTTCTCATCTATATTGTTTCATGAAGTTTATAAATCATCATCTGTAGTCTATTGTTTCCTGTACCTTGAGATTATATTAACATTAGTCGTTCATTGTCAACAGCCACCTGTACGTTGTTGTGATACTCATATGAGTGGCGGTCACTGTGAAATGTCTCCAAAGGTACATTATGATTGAAAATATGCTATAGTTTTTGTTGCGTTTTGGAGTAACAGTCTAGCTATGTATTGTACGCTGAAATGCAAAATGAGACTGGATTTGCGTTATGCAGACTTAAGCGTTACAATGAAGAAAGAATTTAATGACATTTTATCTACTGATATCTCGATCCATCATATAAATCCATACATTCACAAATTAATCGATCACCCCAATACGAACAAACTGAGGAAAATTTCATCATGAGCTGACATTGGTCAGAGAACCATTCGAAAACCTCTTTCGTTCCAGTTCGGGACTCTTCATCAGTACGCAACCATTACCACTGTTCGAACCCAGGACCTTATGGTTACAGGGCGAGTTCCTATACCATTAGCCACTGGGACTCGATCCCAACACCTGATCTGCTGTACCCTACTGGTCACGGGTGTGAGGACAAATACTCGCCGAAGACATTGGCTAGTGGTCGCGCTATGTCGTGAATTGGCAGAAGTTAGAATTCATGGGCTGGCCATTGGATCGGGTCCCAGTGGCTTCATGGTCTACCAGCTGGCTGGCTTTGTAACCAGAAGGCCCTGGGTTTGAACAGTAGTGGTGAGTGCGTACTGCTGAAGAGTCCCAATCTGGAACGAAAGAGCTGTCCGGTACTCCCAGGTTTTAGAATGGTTCTCTGACCAATGTCAGCTCACGATGAAATCCTGTAACCAGTCAAAACCCTACAAACCAACACTATAATGTGGAAAATTTGTTGATTCCTTCATGAATACTGAGTTTATCTAAGTAAGTGGAACTGTAGATCACCAAACACACAATGGTAAATGAAACCAACAAAAGATTCAAGAATGTTTAAATCCTCACTGTATAAATACTATGCTGGTCGTTTTCACTCCTCTGTGAAATAATCATTAAGTTTCTACAACTGAAGAATATTTGATTCCATAAGCATTTACTAAAAGAATTAGACGTCAACCGGAGACTGTTTACACCTGGTAAACAATGGAATACTTTAATTCAAATAACTACAGACCTGTCATATCGCATCCCCCAGGAGTATACATGTGACGTAGCATTTCTTTGATGTCGTCAAATTCATCTACTGGAATAACAACTTCGTTCTTTTGATTTTCCTGACAGAAATTAAACAAACAAACCAAATTAAAGTAGCGTTACTATGATTGGTATGAATGCACAAGATTTAAACAACTAAAGTTTTACCAAACATAAATAAACAATAACGAAGATGAAGGTGTTAATTAGTTAGTATTCTGATATTCTCTGCGGAATGAGTCTTCTATGAATATTCTTCATAACATCTGTTTTTAAAGACAGTGTTACAATGTACTTCCCTACCGGTTCAACTAAAAACATTTTTGAACTGCCAAGTGTTAGTTTACAGAAATTTGAATAGTTTCAAGTGAGATAGCCACTGAAGTCCAAAGGGTTCAAAGAGCAACTGCTCCATACTACTGTAAAACTCTCAGCACTAGGTACCCATGATCCTACCAGCCATCGAACCCATGGCTTTAAGGCAGCAGGTAATCTTTTTGAACATTTAGTCACTTGACGATATCAAATGGTCGGTGAATCTTACTTTTGCAGATCTTCGAAATATAGCATCACCACCAGTAAATGTTGTCAGTGAGTATCTGTCCTGGGACCCAACTTGGTGTTGGCTTCAGGTTAGATCACCAGCTAATATCATTCAGGGGCTTTTTAGCTTAAACCTGTTGATAACTGTATAAACCCGATGAAGGTCAATTGGAAAGAATTTTTGCATATCTCAACTCATTGTTCAAATGAAACAGAAACAATAAACAACGTCAATCAAATGTAAAACGTATTTGTATTAGTATTACAAAATTCGAGCTTCGACCAGTCGAACGGCAAATCGGAACTACTGTATGTTGCGAAGCAGTCTTCAAGAAGAAGGTTACAAAAAGTGGAAAAGTGAGCGATTCTGTATAGTTATTAGAACAAATATTCACATTTATATTTTACATTTTAAAAGGACTTTAGTAATTTTTATTCCTGACAGCGTCTTTTTTTCGTTGTACCAAACATCATACTTCTAACCATCTGTGCGTCGGTGGCAAAGTGGTTAGGACTCTCACCAACCATGCACATGGTCCAGGGTTCCATCCCCTGCCGACGCAAACCTGATATCAATGGTCGGCCTGCAAAATTTGGGCTACCGATATCCATGCTGAAAATTCCATACCTTTGCTAAAAAATACAGTGTGGAATCAAGCTGTAATCAGAAATAAATAAAAATAAAATTTATTCATTTCCACATGTGTTTTGATAGACTAATTTGAAGAAACACAGAAAATACCCAATAGGATATTAAGCAAGGAATGAACAACAAGCCTAACAAAAATGCCTTTTCGATGATTTCAACCTTGGAAGCTGTACAATCGTATTTATATACGTAAGCTTACATCGACACAGTTATTATTTAACTCCACATAATAACAAAGAAGATTATAGGTGCCCATAATTTTCAACTTGATATGAAAGTTCTGTATGATTATATAGATTATAAGCGGTATTAATGCAAAATTACACAGGATTAGAGAATAGTTGTGTAATTTGTTAAGTAATTCTGAACGAAGACAGGTGTGAACACGATGAGCGTGGGAACAAAGTGAAATAATAGCTTCGATAACTTAAAATTTTAAAATCAGTTGGAGACTAAAGATTCAAAGTGACTAGATCCATGTTAAATGCAGAGGTTGGAATAGTTGTGAAATAATAGAAATGATTTCTAGCTCAGGTTGATGATTTGCAATTATTCGTGTTCTCTGAGCTGGTTGGTTTAGTTGCGACGAGCTTTTGTCGTCCCTCTTCTGGACAACATCTCCTTTCAGCGCAATATTTAGCATAAAGAGTGAAATGATTTAAATCTTTCATGAGTGATAGAATCGCGTCTCCCAGTAACCATCTTTATATATGTGTATTGACCATTTTCTATTGACTTGGATTTTAAACTTTCTGGTCAGTTTGATTGGGATAATGCCGAAATCTTATACAGAGAAAACACTTATCTGCTGCTTTTGGATATTTATATAAGGAGAGCTTCTGAAGTACAAATAAAAAATCGGAGCACACAGGTGTAACATGTGTTCATTTATGCTGTACCTGTCACAATATCTAAAGTGACTCATCATTTAGAATCAATTATAAAAACCAAATAAAAATTTACCAAAGTTAGTGGGTTTCCGATTTATTTGTACTGCGTTACTTTCAGACTATTTCATTTACTAATTAGCCTACAGGTTGGAAATGCTTTTGGTCTTAAGTTAGTCACAGAGTTAGTTACAGTAAGTGGACAAATCATGTCCAACTGTGAACCAGGGTTGTTATCAGCGATAACCAGATTCTATTATAAAGGACGAATTCTTCTGACAGTTTCAAAACTTTTCGTGAAAACTCTCAGTGTTTAACTGAATAATTGAACTGTGCAGACAATTACAACTGGACGCTAAGCATAGCTTTAAGTTTTAGTTATAAAAATTGAAATTTGATTAATTTCAGGTCTAATCACCAAATGACTTCAGCTGGAGAACCACTGGAAACCACAGAGTTCCAGACAGCTGTTTCGTTTTCGTTTGGAACTTTGCATCAGGGCGCACACGTGAATCACCGAGGGGCGAACCCAAAACTTCCAGCTTATAAGGCGAACGGAGCCCACCAAATTGGATTCACAATATATATATGGCAAATTAGCAGAAGTTAGGATTAATGGACCAATGGAATCCGTCCCTGCTTCTATGCGGACAACCGGATCGCTTGTTACCTGATGATTCTTCGTTCTATCCCTAGTAGGGTTGTGGGCGCGTGAGACCGAACACTCTCAATGAGGAAGATATATCTGTCCACTGCTCTCTAACTTAAATGAGTTCGTGGTCATACTTAAATTCGACTTTTTGGTCGTCTTTTTTCATTCCTTTGAGTTCCGGATAGAGTGTAGCGCTTCCAGCTTAGAAGTACCACTGGCAATGGTGTTGTTCTGCTTCACAGGATAGGACAGCTAACTTTACAGACAACCTTCTGCCTTTTCCGGCCTCACTATGGGCAAGTAAACTAGGCCAGATCTTAGCAGTGTTTCAACAGAAAATCAAAGCTTAACCTCATGTATGGCTAGTGCGTATTCTAACATTCATTTATTTGAACCAAATCCTTTAGAAATTCATCTTACTACATTATAGTCAAATCATCCTTTCAGATGAGCTATATAACAGTTAATTAAGTGTTAACTTTAAACTCATTTTATTCAATATTTAAACAGAACTTATTGTTGTGACTGATGTGTTAAACTTTGGTGTGACCACAGTCAGTCTAAACGGTGATTAATAGTGATGTGCTCAAATTCACTTTGGCATTTTAAGTGTCTTTTGTCTATACTATACCAGTTACTAGCCAGCTTTATATATAGATAATTAAGGTTTATCATAATAATGCGCCATAAATGAAAGAATAAGTATTACTTATGTATAGCCTACCCTCATTTCCTTTGTGAAAAACTAATTTGACTGTTGGTTATTTGTCTGTGGAATTTGAATTACAATAACGAAAACCTTGGTCAGTTGCTAGTTGCTAGCTACTTATAAACAATGTAGGCTGTGATTTTGAGAAACCATATAATGTCCTCTTGGCTGTATATTCTTTCTTCTTACTTTCATATAAGTCCTATTAAAGTTGTTTGTAGGCTCTATGTCACTACTGACTCTCATGGACTCAGACTTCAACCTATGATTCACTTCAGTAGCAATTTCTAACTGTTATTTAGTGCAGTATTCGATGATGAACCGATTAATATTTTCTGCCTTAGAAGTGGTCATGAAAAAGAATACACCACCTTCTTACTGCTCGACAGATGCAGCTTAAGACAATGATAAATTCGACAGGAAATACTTGAAGGTGAAGCGTTTCAGTACAACAGTAATGTTGCTATTATAAAAACTCAAAAGAACATTCTGAAAAGAAAATGCCTGTCGCTTTTGTGAACTAACAGAGGTATGAACGAATTGACTGATATGAATGGTCAGATAACACTCACTACAAACAGTATTGCATACTTGCCAAATTTAATATATCTGAACACTGGAGGCTTTTTTCACCCATTTGCGACCAATATTACCAGAGGTGCAACTGGATTCTCTCAGTTCAGTGAGTCTATTCAGTTCCCACCGAATCGGGAATTAATTTAAAATTAATTCAAAAATTGACCTAATGTTTTACGAGTTCACCTATGTAGCTAGCCTGAATTCGGGTGTTGTCAACTGATTACGCTCTCTCAGATGAGTCGGACCAGGTACACTGCCAGTGAGCTAGGTCCTAAACGAACAAAAAACTGCCGCCCAGTATTTAGATAGCTTCAATCTGGCTAGAAAGTCCACTACTACTTGATGTGACTAGTATCCGACTACTCATTGCAGTTAATCAGTAGTATGTATCACAACGCAGTTATCTTTGCTATGTTGATTACCGCTTATGTTATCAATCAAATGATATATTGGGATCTAGATAATTTTGGTTTTCAAAGGGAACTTTAATGAAATATCACCTCGAACCGCTGAAATTGCAAATCGCGAATCAAATGGTTGTTTAAATGCAATACAAAGAGTAATACTGATGACACATCTATTTTAAATGGTATTTCATACTGTTGTTATTAGGTGACAAGAGGCAGTTGTCAGAAAGCCTCGGATCTAGTTTCTTACTTGTTGGCACTCTTCAACGAGATGTATGTACGGTCTTGAAGTAATTCATATACCTTCTGAGATTCGAACACGCGTCATACGCTGCTGCAGACAAGACGTTACCATTGGGCTATTCGGACTCACGATTTATCTCCTGTAAGAGTGTATTGGATATTTGTTAGTAATAAGTATCATTTGGTGCCAAGTGCATTTTTTCAGGAGGAGGTCAGTCACGAGTCCAAATAACTCAGTGGTAACGTCTCCGTCTGCAGCACTGGGGTTACACGGGTTCGAATATCAGAAGGGATATGAATTCCTTCAAGATTACAAATAAACCTTGTTGACGTGTGCCAGGAAGCCCAAAAACTAGATCCAAGACTTCCCACGCATTACTTCCAATTACCTAATAACACGAATTCAGAGTG